GAAAAAAAAAAACCTCCAAGATGACAAAAGAAAGAGGAATAAAATATTCTTCTCAGCTACTGTTACTGTGAGTTCAGTCTCTACTGCTAAGGCATCAACACCACCACCACTACAGATCATGAACCCTCTATTCTTGTCTGTTATAACATGTCAGAGGAACAAACAGCGTCTGGCACATGTTTTAGGAGACAGTGAAGATAAGACAAAGATCAATTTCCTTTTCTCTTTTTATTATATCTCAGAATTACTAGACTTCATGTTCAACTTAACAATCTAAAATGAACGTTGAGGATTTAAAAAAGAAAATGATATTAACTGCATGATATAATTCAAGAAAATAATAACAAATACAGAGTGCTTTGCCAAAAATGTGTAAAAATTACCTCCTGTACATTGCCTTCTTTAGTCCATCTTGTTAATTCTTCCTTTAAGCTCTCTTCATATTTTCTGGCATCCATCTTTTTAATTACTAATTTATTCTTAAAATGAATGAAGTTCTCTGGACACAGTTCCTTGAAAACAAATATCACAAAATTAAATAAAATCATTCAAGAAAATCTAAAGATGTTTCTCTATTATACTGTACATCTCATTAATAGCATTATAAGCTTCTGAAGGGTAGAAATAGCTGAGTTTCTTAATACATAAAACTAATACATAAAACTATTAGGGTAAATGAACTCTTCCAAGGAAAGGATGCAGAGCAAAGTCAAGTACAAGATGGAAACATAGAGAAGGACGCAGAGAAAGGAGGCTAGTGTAATGAAAGAAAATGGAAGAAAATAAATCCAGGCATAAGAGGTGACTAAAATATTATAATATCCCAGAAGTCAAAAGAAGAAATATTTTCAGGTATTAAAATAAAACACAATTTAAAACCCATTAAAATAAACCACAAAATGTTAGGAAGAAGAATATATGAGAAAGGGCAGTTTTATTTTGGAAACAGTCCACTAATTATTTTAGAAGATCACATGCAAGTGATTAGAAAGGCTGAGAGTCTTTCTGAACAGCAATGTTACCATCCTATATAATAGCATTAATTCCATGATTATTATTTACCTGGGCCCGGGGCCAACTTTCCCAGGTTTGAAACATGGTATCATAAAGCTGGATGCTTTCTCGAGGTGAAAGAGTAAGATCAGAAGGGAATCCGTATTTTTCAATCTATGTTTAAAATAAAATTGAACTTTTTAATATTCCTTTTATTTTATCTTATCCTTTGCTTCATAGTCACTATCATGAACCCAAAGACATTGAAAGACATTAAACTAAGATGTTCAAATGCTGATAGGTGCTAAATGTTAACAGAATACTATCCATGAGTGTCCCTGAATTACTAAAGTAGAAAAAACCCAAAAGCCCACCAAAACCTTTTATATTATTTCCTAAGACCTTTTAATTGGATTAATTTTCTATGAACTGTCTTCATAATTCAAATCAGAGTACTGGGAAGCTGATAGATTTGTGGACTCAATTTAGACAAGAAGACAGAACTCTACGCTGAAGCTGAAACTAAAATTGATTTAATTATGAATTGATTATTTACTTTAATGTGTACTAAGCCAGGCAAATCTTCTTTGCTTAAGTTCTAAGATAAGAACTGGGTCAACTTCAAGATAAAGGCTCTCAGACCACCGTTAAGACACTCCAAGAAACTTCTCCCACAGTTTGCTGAGGTAGGTCTGCTTTCAGTCTTCTGGATGTGAACACCGTTCTTTTTTTCCACAAATATGTGCAAATGGAAATAAAAAGTTCTTGCTTTCAGAAAATTTCACTGTAGTATTTTCTACTGGTTTTAACCAGTATAGCCTACAAACCAATTGCATATAAAATCATGATCTCTGGAATGTTGATAGGTACTTGCTATGGACTAAATGTTTGTGTCCCCCAAATTCTTTTATGTTGAGACCCAATCCTCAATGTAATGGTATTTGGACATGAGGCATTTGGGAGGTCTTGAAGGTGAAACTCTCATGAATAGGATTAATGCCATTATAAAAGAGATCCCAGATAGCTTCCTCACCCCTTCTGCCATGTAAAAACATAGCAAGAAGACAGCTATCTATGAACCACAAAGCAGGCCCTCATCACTCTGCCAGTATCTTGATCCTGTACTTCCCAGCCCCCAGAACTGTAAAAAATAAATATTTGTTTTAAAGCTACCCAGTCTATGGCATTTCTGTTATAAGCCTGTTGAACAGACTAAGACACTATTCTAGAAGAGGGAGGGAGG